TTTGTTGTGTCATACATTCCTCAGTTAGTAGTGTGATATAGTTTTATACATTTCACTTCCACTGGTAGAGTGCCTAATTTGAATATTATCATCTTTAATTTTGTTGTCAATAGAAATTATATCTAATGGAGTTTGCATACAGATGGCTCCACAAGTGCTCAGCCAAGGAGTCAATTAGTAGGCCCTATGTAACCTCACCTTACTTACCCATTCCTTAAATTTAGATTTTTTTTTCTTATGCTATCAACATTGATACTATTATTGTTATTGTTGACATTAGGATAATTATAATATTATTAACAATACTATTAGGAATAAAACACGAAAAAAATAGTTCCAAGGAAAAGGATAGACAACTGAGATAGGACTAGTAATTGATTCCTTGGTGACTAGCATTTGGAGCAACCTATGGCACATATGCTTCCTTGACATCTGGTTGATATTAACAAATAACTTTTTGAGAACTATGATTCTAGAAGTCTACCTTTTTATACTTATCTCGGCCTCTTTGTAATGTGAACCATTTCCAGTAGGGTTTTTCTATCAGTATTATCAATTACATTATGAGGAATTGCAAGGTCTGATGCACATTTATGCACAGAACACTTTCCTGGTCTGGTTTCTGTACAGGATTCTGTTTTAGCAATGTTATGTAAGTTTTTAAATCAAGTTTAATTGAATTTAATTAAAAAGAATAGATTGCTACTTAGTGAACAATTTTCGATGACATATTTTCATAATTCATAGGTGAATTAGTTTGGTTCTTCAGAGGAGAAAGAGAGTTTTAGATGCTTTTGATTAAGTGAGAATTCTTCTCTTAGGTTTGTCATGCAATCGTCATGGCCAGTACTCCTGCTTGAGATGCAAGACCTGTTATTGTGAAGATCATGTGCGCAGGAAAGGTTTCAAGTACGATAACAGGCAAAAGCTCCCATGCCCAAAGTGTGGCTTTGATACGGAGGAGACAAAGGATCTTAGCATGTCTAGTGAGTACCTGTTTCTTTCTGGCTTACAGTCGCATCCAGATTTGGTATATAGTCACGATTTGTGGTGTATTTATAGTCTGTAAATTATTTTGATTTTTATATATATTGTGATAATGAATGCACTGTTTTTCCAAAATTATTAACATTTTGGCACATTTCACTTACAGCTCGCACCCACAAATATGGTAGACAGCGAACTGGCATGGATGATTATGATGAGGATGATGACGAAGGAGCTGTCGGCTATGGTTATTCTTATGATGAAGGCGGCTATGACTATGATGACGATGACGATGACGATGATGAAGATGATGATGATGATGACGATGACGATGATGAAGAAGAAGAATCGGAGGAAGAAGTAGAAGAAAAAAGTAAATAACAATAAAGAAATTGCCATAGCTGAGAGTAATAGGTAATCTAAGGATATTTGCCTTTATATTACATTACAGGAAATTGATCATTGTATTTATTTGTTTTAATTATCCCATTTTATCCATTTAGGTAGTAATTTGAGTATGAATATTTTTCACTTCATTTTGAAAGAAGGATACACTGAAATAACTTGTGTTAACAGTGTTACATATAGTTTTGCAGTACTATAATTTGCATTATGACTTAATATATATAACTGTAATAGATCTAGACTGCTGTGATATGTGATTTGAAAATCTGTTCATTCAGAAGTTAGTCCTAGAGTTGTATTTTTCTATTAGTATAAATGTCATAATTTTTCATATTTCTAAATGTTACTTGAGATTCAACTTTCAGTAATTAAAATTGATTGACGATAAAACTTTATATTGACAGTTTTCAATTTACAGCCTTTTCTAGCTCATGACTCATGACTGAAATAAGCATAAAACAAGCAGAAAAAGTCAGTTTTTATTTATGATTTGAAAAGCATAGAGACTGTATATTTTTCACATTTATATAACAAGGAAGTGGCTGAAATATTTGATTTTAGATGCAGATTAAGTCATACAAATTTTATTTAAGAGAGAGTAGAATATGAGTTAGATTATCTTGTATGTTCAGGAGTATCTTTTGAGAATAATCAAATGTATATACCTTTTTTTACATTTGTTTACAGGCATTTAGGGGATAATAATAAATTATTATAAATAATGATTATACTTGTTTCTAATGTATCCTGCAGTCTGTATAAATTTAACAATTATTATTTGGATGAAGGAATTTAATAAAACTGTTAAGGCATATTATGTATATATCAATACTTAAATTGAGACAAATGTTATTTAAGATATATCCGTTTTATATATCCATGTTCTTTCACAAATTTATGATCTGATCATCAATAATTTTCATCTGTTGGTTATAAGACCTATGTGTTATGACTGGAAGAAAAGAATTTTCATAAATTATTTTGTATTCAAACAGATTGTATGACTTCTCCTGAATGGTAAGGGGTGGTTCACTATTTTCAACATTTTCACAAGCGTAAAAAACAGATGCAGGTGGGGAGGGGGTCAGGGACAAGTGTATGCTTTTTAAAATGAAAAAAATGTCAATTGGTTTTTGATAGGGCCTGTATAATCCACAGGCCACTAGTCTTGCTCCTGGCCATACATATGGTTCTTACATGCAAATTATAATCAATACTTACATGGGTTTGTCTCAGCTTTGACATAATAAAATAGTTTAACTGGAAATCAACATTTTTCGTACACTTTTTTGAGTGGGGAAGGGGGGTCTCCAAAAAATGTTTTGTACTCTTGTGAAAATGTTGAAAATTATGAACTGCCCTAT